TATTTGGGGATGGAATTCTGGAATACATGGGGCTTGGCTTTATTGTACTATCAGTGCGAGGTTGTACAACTTGCATTGATTTAGGCATTATTTGGTCAGTACAATCAGGAATATACTTTCAGCTACTGGTGTCTTTGGTATACACATTATTAAAGATTAATGTTTACATCTATGCACTTTTTTCTAGCATTCCAAATATAGGGAAACCCTGGGATACTTATTCTGAGAAGTGAACAAAATACACAGATCATTTCATAATGATTTAACCATGATTTTGCATACATGAACATATGTAAGATAAATTTCCTGAGGAAAAAAACCCTTTCAGCTTCCACGTTCCAATTCATTGATAGTTGCATGAAAGGGGCAGGGAAATCCTGGTTGTGATGGCTTACTTGTTTATTTCATAAATGGAATGGGAGGAAGTGCAATCTAGAATCAGCTTGTAATGCTTAATTAGGACTAGACATCAGAAGAAGATGGAGTGGCCTAGATTTTCTGATAAAATAATCCATGTCTAAGTAGGGAGTCAAGTAATTCTAAGAATCAGTATTTATGGCTTGAGGAGAATATCTGTATAAAACATTTATTATGGCATAAGGTTTCATAGATTCCAGTTGAGGAGTGAATAGGTTTCTGGCCTGGGGAATCTACTTTGTTTTTTCCTGATAGAACTCTGACATTCAGCCAGTGCACCAAGTCTGTTTGGATGAGCAAAGTGACAAAGAATGGAGGAGGAACCATTATAGTTCTTACTGCTATATGCATCCTACATTAGTAGAGAGAAAGTGTGGTTCATTATGAAGGATGTTATTGCTCATGATAATGATGCTTTTGGCTGCTCTCTGTGTGGAAGCCATCATTGTTATCGTGATGTGGCTCTAGAAGGGCATCCAGGATTGTGACTCTGTTGAGTATGGAGAACATTGCAGGTACACATTAATAATGAATGAACAGAAGATAGTAGTTTAAGCTTGTATGCCACCTGACTCTCAATAACTCTGGGAGGCTTTATGTATACATAGCCCAGATCTTCATGATCAGTTCCAGAGCCAAGCTCACCAGACCTTTTACACACAAAAAAACCCATTATTAGTTTCCTCCCAATATTTTTTAGCTATTTAATTTATAATGTTCTTTTAGCTGGTATGGCCAGTTGGGAATCACAAATTGTTGCTGATATATTACAAATCACTTAAAGATCTGTCACTGGATCCTTATCTATTTTCTGTCCATTCCTGCCCACAAAAGCACAATCATTACAAATCTGATCGTTTTCAAGCAGCCACAAAACTCTTTTGTTGCTTACCTTTCTAGAAATTCACCATTCTTTTCATTGTACATTCCACGCCTTTCAACTTTTCTACACAAGGTTTCCAGTGCCCCATGAAATCTTTTAATACTCATTCTTCCATGCATAGTGCCTTGGCAGGCAAAGTAACTCTATTGTGCTGGTGTTAGTATTGAATAATGAATGCATATGTTAAGCCACAAGATATTTAAAATTAAACTTGCTTAGTTCAGTTTTACACTCGTAACTGAACTTTTAACAAGCATACATTTATCCTTGAACTGAGGCTGCTTTCATATAAATGGCTCCTGATGTTACCAATAAAAAGCCAGTGTGCAGGATTCTGGAATAGGAAAAATGTAGAAAGGAGCAGTGCAAGTACATGGGAGGTTAATGGGCCACAATTAAACTGTAATTGACTCATTTTCGAGTCAGCAAAAAATATACTGGAATGGACTTTGCTGTCCCTCTTGTCGATACCTACTCTACCTCTAGTGCAGCTTTTCTGAGCCAGTGCTAAATGATACTATCCTGATTTAGTGCACACAGACCAGAATAAGCAAAGTGATTGGTTGATTTTTCCAGCTGTCCTGCCTTCTATCTTCAGACATCACCAGCTTGTGGGAATTGTAATTAGCTTGTATTTACCTGCTAAGCACAGAAATGGGTAGCTGCAGGTCTCTTATCATTTTGGTTCCATCTTGTATCTGGCCTCCTCCCTTTCTGTTATAATCTGCACTCTGGCTTTTTATTGGTAACATCTGTTTTTTTTTAAAGAGATTGGAGTCATGAAGGGAGCATACTGAGCTCAAGGACCACTTTCACTTAAGATTTCTCTCCTATTGTTTCTTCATATAGCAACAAATGCCATACTATACTGAATTCTAGATTCCTCCATGGTCTGTTCAGAAATCAATGGGAGAAATGTATTCTCTCATCACTCCACTGTTTTGCTATTTCTGTCTTGCACTAAATTGATAAAGTCCATAAAGGGAAACTCATACAGGACAGCCAGCATAGTGTTATTGGACAGTTCTGATAGGTCCCCAGCTCAGTCTGCCGCCTTTCAGGTGATCACAGCAGAATGGCAGCAGGTGAGGCTCACCAGGGAACAGAAAGGAGGGGCAGGTTGCTTACCTCAGGCTGAGGTGGCTGATTCTCTAACTTCACCTCTGATGAAGAGGGTGGTGAAGCATGACAGACTTTATATACCTTATGGCTGCCATTAGCTGCTGTTGGCTTAGTGGGGTACGACGCTTTAGCACTGGGACAGCTTTGGGTAGCTTAAGACAGTCCCACTCATGTTGGGGATGAGATGAGATGAAGTCCAAATCATGGAGACATGGCAGAAAAAAAAGATGATGTCAGCACACGTTTCTACTGTGGTTAGGTCCAAATGGAAAAATATCCAAAGTAGCCAAAGTCATTAAAATTCTGTAATTGAGGCTAGGGGATGACATAATAACAGCTTCATCTGTTTATTAAATGCACCCTTGGTCCCTGTGACCCCTGAAGTGCATTTTTCAAAGTGTGTGTGCAATATCTATATAAAGCTCACTGGTCACTCTTAGCCCAACCTACCTCACAAGGTTAGCATTGTGGGGAAAAATAGGAAGTGCTATGTATACTGCCTTGTATATCCAAAAAGGCTGGATATAAATTTTAAAAAGTTCCATAAAGCATGGCCAAATTTCATTATAATTGTCATACAAATGATGTTAAAGGGTGAAAATGATGGAAATGATGTACTCTTTGAATGGGAGATCAGGAATAATGACAACTTCACAATTGAGCCATTAAATAAACATTTCACTTGTATACTTTTATTTTATACTGAAAATCCAATTCTTATTATGTTTAAATACATATGATTTCTGGTGACAGCCATACCGAGTGTAGCTTGAAGGTAGCTCTTGGGAGAAACAGAAGAACACTGATATATAATTTGTTTATTCCAAATCCCATTTCATATAAAGTATCTCAGACATTTCCTTTCAATTATGTACTTGACTGTAAGATGCTGAACGCCCTGCAATTCTGCATCCTTGGGCAGGAAATAATATTAAAAAAACAACATAGTTCTATGGTTTTGTTCAGAGGTGGAACACAAGTTCTATAAGCCTGATACAGTCTAAACACAAGAATATGATAAGGTTTCATCTATATTAAAATCGTAAACATAGGAAGCTGCCTGAGTCAGAGCATTGGTCCATCTGCACCACATACGCTCAACCACGGACCAAAGGCTTTTCATCAGGATATCCAATCAATACATTTCTCTTTGTAGCAGATCCTGTTTTGTGTGCAAACTGGGCAACTGCAGTTTTGTTTGGCCTGAACAAGACATGCACAATCTTCTTGGAAAATAATTCACTAAATTTTGTTCCAAAAAAACACGAGAAGAAAATAAATTCATTCAGCTAAAACTTTAAGTACACTGCTCTGAGTATATACTGCACTACTTGTTTTTGTTAACTAACATAAATGCTAACTAGAGACAAGCTATTTTCACTAGGTGGCAAGTACAGATTGCATTTCCAGGCAAAATTTTCTTCTGCAATCATCATGACTGATTGATAAACTCTCTCTTTCACATTGTCCTTCAGTTGCCACTGGGCTATGATGGATTTTTTAAGTTGCTTCTTCCATTTTCCTCCTTGTTTACACAAACAATATGATCAGGGAGGAAATAAAGTCTCTTTTGTTTAGTAGCACTAGTAGTTCTTCCTTTGGAAGCACTGGGAGAGATGATAACAGGCTATAGGTGAAAGCAAAGGAGGAAAATACGATTGCATGCAGGGACATTAATAGTTTTGGCTTCCTTAGTATGTATGTACAATTATTGACACATTAGCAATGAAAAGTCAGAGCAAGTGTAAAAGAGAGAATATGTTTGCCACTCAGTCCAGTTAATGGCCTTGTTATTCTGGGTACTTCCCATTTTATGATTTTTTAGCAATGGTAGATTTTTATAATTTTTTCCCCCCAAACGATCAGACAGTTCTTTTAACTTTTGATATATGCTTTAAGCATTTGTCTCATTAATTTGTAGCTGGGATATAAATTCCTTCCATTTGGTTTATATAGTGTTGTCATTTTCACAGTTCAGGTAGCAGAAAGCATGTATTTAACCAAATGGAATGAAATATTGCAATGGCCAACTGAGGGCTAAGTAGTTTGTGCAAAGTGATCACAACCTCTGTTTCTGTCTTTGCTTGCTAGAGACCATGGGTCCTAATGGATTAACCATTCAAAGCACTGTTTTGGGCCAGTGATACTATAGTCTCCAAGTTTGCTTTCCATCTGCAGCTAAGTATAGCATACTTGAAAAGAAAACGGTGCCAAAGATAACTTGGATCAATTCATGGTTCAGTGTGGTGAAGAAATATCGGCTACATAAAATTGCAGGTTTGAATAAAAAACAGCTCTGGAAAATGCACCCTTACTCACAAAGAATTTTTCTTTTAAGGTCCAAAAAGCTTGACTTCCCCCCTTCTCCCAAAGACTCCACATGTGAATTCTATTTTTCCACTACCGAAGTCCAGGAACCTATGCTGAGCTCTGTGACTGTGTGTGTATGTGTGTGTGTGTGTGTGTACACATGGGACTCAGGAGAGCAAGAAGGAGATGTTTGTGTGCATGTGGGTAAATGTCCACATTATATAGGTCAGACTGGAACTTTAGTTGCCTCTGTCATTTGCTAAATTAAATCGTGTACCTTGTTAGAATTACTAGTTGAAACCATTATTGCACTTTATCATTTCAGGCACAGAGGCTTAATCTCTATATCTGGGAGCAAAGCTGGAGGAAAGGAAGGTACATACCAAGCTCGTGTGAAACAAGCCTTAACTTTTATTGCATGTAATTTCCATCAACTTGGCTTCCATGCTTGTGGGAAGGTGAATGGGAAGGTGGATGCTTTTTATTCACATACTGTTAAATCTGAGAATTAATTGAGATATGACTGGGTAAGGATGTTTTCTATGAGTCAGTGAGTGTAGATTAACAAATTATTTTAGTGTATGATTGAAATTAATAACTGTAATTTAATCTTTGTCTAGATTTTGAGAATGTCGTTCTTGGCTTGAAATGCCAACAGTCATCAGATAGGAAAAGTCTGGAAAACTGTTTTCAGAAAGCAGAAGGCAAGAACTCAACTAAGTGCACTTGACTGAGCAACATAATCTAACAGCTTGTATCCAGATGCATATTGTTCCTTGTGCTGGACATTGGAATATGTGATGTATGTGTGTGTATAAACATGGTGTAATGTTTGGGTAAACCAACATTTGCCTACAGCCTTTTCAATCCATGTCATGCAAATGCAGTGCTGGCACTAGAATACGCCAATATTTTCTGTGGGGGAAGATGATCATAATTATTCATTTATGTTTAGAACACCTACAATTTATTAAGCCCTGCACAATGATAACATCACTATCCCATCTTGCCAGCCTGAGACCAGTCTAAATAACTTCATAAGCAAGATGCTATTGGCCAGGAAAACGCATTATTGAGTAACATGGTCCTGGCTATTACTGCAGGGCTCTCTACACAAGGCTATTTTTTTTTTTTTAAAGTTGGACCAGATTGCAGCCTAAATATTTTAGTGGAGTTCTCTTGGGATATTGAACAATCAACAATGGCACCGAGAACTAAAGTTTCTGAGCACAAAGGTTGGTGATTACCTTGAAAGCCATAAATGGCTTAGGTCCAAAGTATTTAAGCCAGAATAGGGAACTGAATACGATCTGAGGGCTGGATTCAGTCCTTCATTTCCTCTAATAGGCTGGATAGTCAGGGACTTGGAATTTAGGAACAGGAAGTCTAATCCCTGATACTTGCATATTTCTTGTAGAAGGCAGAAGTAAATGACAGTTCCCTGCCTTCCCTTGCATGCAGGAAACCTTACTCATAACCACCCTGCTGTCCTTGAGCTGGAGCAAAGCAGATATGGGTCTCTTTTGGTTGACCTCTTTCTTTTCTGAATGGGACAAGCATGGTTTGGGTGAAAGAGTTCTGTGCTTCCAGGCATTCTTCTGGGATGCCTGAACATGCTGCTCTCAGTGGTCTTGGAGGTACTGGGCCTTTCCTTCTGTGGATGGTGCAGCACAGCTGAGAAAGGACTACACATATAGTCGCTGCCCAGAGTCACTTGTTGAGATGGGCAGCTATAGAAATCAAACAAGTTCTTCCAGCTGGAGCATAGCTTTTTGCAATCTCAACTATATCATAACTTCTCCTTTTGGAAAATATATCATGCACCAAAGACTGAACCATGCTTGCAGATGTATCCCATGGGTTTGGGGAATGCATTAGGATTCACAGGCCAGGTAGACTAGCTTTGTGGGCCAGACAAAGTCTCCAGGCCAGATGTTCTCCACATCTAATTTAAGGGGACACCACAAGTACTGTATCAGCTTGCTTACTTCCTACAGACAGGATCTTTATATCCCATGTGTAATGGAGGCATGAATGAAATTAAAGGACTTAATGTCCATATTCACCTTTGATCCAAGAAACTGTCTATTCATTTCTATCATCTGCTAGACCATTTCAGGTAGTTTTTGTCTTCAGGCAGATGATGATTTCTGCAATGGATCCTTGTAATTTTATTTGCTAATTCTGTTTTCAGTTTTGTATTGTTCCTTTTGATTTTTGTAAACTGCCCCAAGCAGTGTAAATATTTTAGAAAGATTAAATATAATTTTTTTGAATAATCAAGAAATTTATTAATGTTTATTAAAGAATTCAAGATAGGCATGTTAAGTTTTATTGTCCACTTTTAATATTCAAGGGATACGTCAGATTGATGATTTGAACTCATCTCTCTCCAGTTAGCCACAAATTTTATTGGATAATTTTTGGCCACTTGCCATTCCCACAAGTCGATATGGGAATAGTATGAGAAACATACTACATGCTTTGCTTTGAATTTCTTGGAGAAAAAAGGGATTCCTATGAAATAAATATTATATTACAGGCAGACAGCAAATGCTTGATGTCTGAGTAAAACTGGAGGTTTATTTTCACTTAGTTAATTATACAAAGACAGGGGAGTTCCCTTGTGACATAATTATTATTTTTGTAGACCAAAAGCCCTTTGGAGAGGGGAAGTGTTATTTGTATGTTTATAAAAGAGGTAGTAATTTTGTATGGCTAACCCTTCCAAGTTGATTGAATATTTGAGCAGAAGCAACACTAATCAGATGCCTAAGTTCTTACCCAAATCAATAGGGAAAAAAAGGTGAAAATAACATAGTTATTCCTGGCTGTTTTAAAAGCTTTATCCACTGCACATTAGAGAGACTGCCTGGCATTCACTGTATCTTAATACTGGAAATAGAAAGAATGGAGGAAAGACTATGAAAAATGGCTTAATATTATCAAAATATGAATTTCAGTATTAGAAAATGCTTGCTTCCCCAACCTGAGGAATTCCATATGTGTTGGACTTCAACATTCCAACATTAGAGCTACCATAACTCTGCTGCAAAAATCCAGACAACAACTGGATGACAGCAAAGAGTAGAGTTTTCTGTGTCACTTTGCTGCCATCTTGGCTTTGTCTGGATTTTTTGCAGCTCAGATCCTATAACCCTATCCAGTGGTCTAGGTCAGTGTTTTTCAACCTTGGCAACTTTAAGATGTGTGGACTTCAACTCCCGGAATTCACCACTCAGCTGAGTGGTGAATTC